TTTGTTATTGTGTTTTCTGACTTGTTATAATGTTTTCTGAATTGTTGTTGTGTTTTCTGAATTGTTATTTTGTTTTTTAGACTTGCATTTGCATTTGTAATTTGTTATTTTGTTTTCAGAATTGTGATTGGTTTTGCACTTCTCTGCCACCGTAATACGATCATATAGATTTTTCTTACAAAAGGTTCTTACTGTTTTCACACTCTCAACTTCTATTGTTGTTTGACTTAAAAAAATAATTTACTCATCATCTCCCTGCTGTTCCCATGGCAACAAGAAAAAGTGTCCAAGGAACCGGTCCCTGAACACTGCAAAGAAAAAGGGAAACATGTAAATTAGAGCAATTGTGTGCTTATACAATAGGCATCTGTTACAACCATGTAATACAGTCCCTGCACCTAAAGCTGCTGTAATACATTTTCAGACCCTGGAGCTAACCTGGCATTAACAAAATCCATTCCATGGGCCTCATTTATAAAAAGTGCATATGCACAGATTTTATCTTAGAGTGTGCGTATGCTAAAATCCACGGCAATGTTCACAATAACGGTCTTTGACGTGGAAAAGTACTTAACAGTTAACATTGTTAACTGTTTTTATTTATAACATCTGCTGCTTTGTTTCTGTGAAAATTAATAGAGACATCAGCCAAACTTTGTTTTTGTCATTTACATCAGTTATATTTGTATAAAAGACACTATATATTTTTGTGTCAGTACATTAATGAGCAGCATTAGTAGCCTAAACTGTAAACATAAAGAAATGCCAAATCACACACAGGTTTTTTCAGACCGGAGACCAAGACCATAAACGTGTAATAATTTATTTTATTATGATATGGTACAGTTTTTCTTTCAATACTATTTGTGATATTAAAATTTTTATTAGTTGTCATAGCAAATGATTTGGTAACACTTTACAATAAGGTTCATTAGTTAACTACATAGTTAACATGAACTAATAATGAACTGCACTTATACAGCGTTTATGCATCTTTGTTAATGTTAATTTCAACATTTACTAATACATTATTAAAATCTTGTTAACATTAGTTAATGCACTGTGAACTAACATGAACATCTGTATTTTTATTAACTAACATGAGCGTAGATTAGTAAATACAGTAACAAATGTATTGCTCATGGTTAGTTCATGTTAGTTAATATATTAACTAATGTTTAACTAATGAACCTTATTGTAAAGTGTTACCAATGATTTTAAAAGTAGGATGGCTCACTTTTTATAAGATGACGGAAAATTTTATTTGAATTCGTAGTTTATTTTTACTTTTGGAAACCTAATTGTTTTATAATTACTATTATTATTATTATTAATTGTTGTTTCTAGAAGTAGTAATTTTAATAATAGTCAATAGAAAAAATAGAACCACACACACATTGTTTGTCCACAGAATAATTACACATTATTAAATAAAAAGTGTCCCTCTACCTCTGCCAGCAGGACCTCAATTTCAGACTCAGTAAAGTTGTTTTTTTCTTTGTGCTCATCATTCTCAAGCACAGAAATTCGGATATTGGCGTGTGCCCTTTTATATGGTAATTAATTAGGGGGCGTTTACAAGGCGGAGATCTGACACCAGTCAGCTGCGCACAATTTCAAGATCATTTGCGATTTATAAATGTCACATCTGGAAGAGAGGCGTAGCACATATTTTTGTGCGCACGTTCGTTTTCTCTAAATCGCACTTATGCACTTTTGAGAAATGATCTTAGAACAAATTTAGGACGGTTTATACGCAACATTTTATAAATGA